TCACTGTCGTGTTCAGTTACCTCCCAAATTGGTTTAAAAAATATCCCCTGTTCCTTTGGAACCCATTCTTTTGAGAAATACTCCCTAAATTCACATTTAAGTGGGTATTCAAATCTAAAGATAAATTACTGAGGACATTAATGCCTCCATTGCACTTTTTTATCCCATATTATTCCCTCGTGGTTTTGAGACAGAGATTTGTTTGGCTTTAATTAGCTCACTACAGTCTCTGAGAAGCTCATTATGAAATCAAAGTGGGGCCATGGTGTCATCAATGGGATATTAGGGGATGCTATGTGAACACTTAGGAAATAAGGCCAGAGCTGGAAGAGGATGGGGCAAATATAGAAGCCCAAGCCACAATATTGTCCTTAATTACATGTTGAACTATAACCCACATCCCGGTCTCGCTGGCTCTCTCACTCTCTTCAGCAACAGTGATGTCCCTAAGCATTTCCTTGCTTGAGGTTTAAATAAGGCTAGCCAGGGCGCACAATTTAACTCATTATCTTCCACACAAGAGTGCTCCCACTAGAGAAGGGGATACCCAAAAGGGATGAACCAATGGTTGGTATTTCCTGTTGCATTCATAAAGCTGAAAGTGTAGCAATGTCTTTGTGTCCATGAGAAAGACGCCAAGCAACAAGACAAGCGTTATAAAAACAAATCAGAGGTCGCGGACAGGGCTTGATCCCGCTGGTGGGAAAAGCAAATGATGTGCGAATCTCCCAGCCAGGGTAACCATGACAGTTTAGGAGCACGCATGGGAGACGGAAAGCTGCTTCTTCCCAGAAATTGTGACTCCAAGGCATTGTCATTGTGCTCAATAAAAACGAAGACAAGTGTGTAAGCCTGGATATGAAACCTTGCAAGGATGCTTTGCCCCTCAGTCTTTGTATAGTTAGCTTACAGCTTTTGTGTGCCAATGACCTTTTAAAAGCCTGTTGATCCAAAAAGTGGATACTGTAGAGAGAAATAATTTCCCTGCCACACACCTGCCGCTACTGTCGCTCAGCAGATGGTTAGCCGCAGGGCACGGACAAGTTTTTCTTCGGAGTCTTTTGTAGTAGTGATGAATGCAGATGTTTTGTCCTTTTTGCTACCACTGTAATTTTAAAACTTTCTATTGACCAGCTGCTGTCTATTGAGCTTAACAACATTGGCTGATGCGGCATGTAGACTGAATAAAGAACAATTCATCAGAGTTTCAAGCTTTCAGATGTATACAGTATGTGTTGGTTCAGGGGATTAGAACATTTTCTCAAGATATTCTTTGTATGTCATGATGGTAGATGGGTATACATTTATTAACAGATCTGACATTTCAAGTTCATTTCAAGTTCTCACAAATGAGTAATAGCTCCAATGAATGTCATGCATTTGTGAAATGTCAGTGTTGGGTGGAGTACATAAAGTCATACTGTGTGCTATGAGAGTTTTAACCTTGTTAGAACAGTGGTCCCCTGGTATTCTCTCTAACCCAAGTTTAATTTTGATTTGTATTGCCCGTTTACTCTCTGCTAAAAATATGTTACTCTAGGTCAAACATTCTGGGTTCAAAAATATTTCATTTAAAGACGACAAAGATGAAAATCAAATCGGCTAGTGGCTACATTGAAATGCTTTCAGTTCTGTGGTTTTAAACAGAGGTTTGATGAGGGTATTTTAGAGCATTACTGCTGCATTAATGTAAAATTATGATCCAAGTGTGGTCAAACTGAATATACCAAAAACACAATGTCTTCTTTAGAACTGGCTGTAGCTAAACTCGGGTTAAAAAGTTCCAAACAGCTCTTAGCATTGGTCTCATGACATCCACCTGATACCTCTTAACGTCTGAGTCAGGAGTTATTACTGACACTGGCCATGTATGAGTAAGATCCGCCTCTCAAGAGACAGCTCTCAGACAACTGAGAGTGCTTCAACCGAAACGCAGAACTATACAATCATGTATTAATATAGTCATGATTCAATAGTCATAATTAGGAATTCTAATAAAATCTATAGTGCTATTGTGAAGGCCCCATGTCAACACATGTTCAAAATTTCAAGCAGCCACATACTTACAAGCAATACTAAAAAATCTGCTTGTTATTTTTCCATTCATCCCAAAATTAAGGAAATCTTTCACCTTCCAAAAGATGACAGTTTTCTCATGTTATTAAAATACTAACTTTACTTTTGCTTCATCTTGTGTCATTCTAACCTTCCTTTCAGTGAAGCCCAACAGCGAGTGCTCACACTATCGCCATAGCCATGAGTTTGTCATTTTTGTCAAGGCCTTGTTAGTGGACCCTCCCATGCTGTTTTGTTGAATGGTGCTGTGTGTTATTTTCCAGGAGATGGGGAAACAAAACAAGCCAAGTGTGTTTTTGCCAAACCACCCCATTCCTCTCAACTTGGGGGAGCAGGCTCTCTAATTAATAGCCAAATCCCTTCGAGTGTGGGAGATTATTGATGAACGAGCTGTCCCAAAATGAAGATATCAAACACTGGTTAAGCAGTGTAATTAAAAAACTCACACTAACAAAGGAAATACCAGGTGGTTTTTCACACTACAGGGCCTAAAGAATGAGGGAACTGCTGATCCTTCCTTTGTGGCACCCACTGCGTTGCCACGGGACGGGAAAAGAGTGCCGGGCGGGTACAGGAAATAAATTTGTCTCCTCACTGCTTTTTGGAATCTCATTTCAGGGTCTTTGTGCACTCAATGGAAAGGAAGTATTCAAATGTGACATGCCGCAAGGTCGAAGGCAAACATACAGAGTACACAGAAATACAGTCGCAGTATGGGGCCAGTGTCAATAAAGGATATACCAAAGTGACGGGAACTTGACAATCGTGCATTGTTCAGCATACTTTGATCGGGTTTTGACCAAGCTTCAAAGGATTTCTATTGAACTGCTTTTATAATCGAAGTGGTGAGCTCGACAAAGGAGTGACAGGTTGGATACAGGGCTGCAAGGTTAATCGCAATTGATCAAAAACAGAACATTGCCAAGACAGCAGTTATTTAGGAAATGTGAAATTCCAGGCTAATGACAATATTTCCTTTTTTTTTTCCCTATCGTTGATCATTGATTTACTTGCTGCTTTGAATTCGCTATTCAAGGTTAAGTTTGTGCTTGGCTGGTATGTTTGTTGATGTACAATCAGTAGGCTGTATTGGGTTTTCCTGTGTGGAGTTTGCATGTTCTCTGTGTGTTTGTCTTGGGCGCTACGGTTTTCCCAACACTAAAAAACTCCCAAGAAGACATCCTGTTTGGGACCAGGACTTCCAAAAGGTCTCTGTATCTTAATGGAGTTCAACTAGTGGTCAGAATAGCATGATTGGATTCTGAATACAGATGTTTAAACTCATATTGGTTAATTTAATGAGATCCAAACTGCTAAGCTAATATGGATGTGGAGGGCATGTCTGTGTCAAAGGAGTAAATTGGGAGTTCATCCAATTAAACGACAAACATGATACTATAAATATGCAGGTTTATGGCCATTATCCCGAATAGAAAACAGACTTTTTAGCTGCATGAGCAATCTTCAAAACACAAAAGAGAGTTATCCATCATTTACACTTTACACCCATATGAAATTTTTGTTTGTATTTTTTGAAGCAAAGGTGTCCTATCAAATAGTATTTACGTCTTGTTGTCGAATGTGTTCTGGTGTCTCTCTGTGTGAGATTGTGGAGTTTAGTTGAGCCATTTCTGTTCCAGCTGTTCGTGCTGTCACCGAGCAGATGTCTGCGTCTGCTCACTCCAGACAACTGTCACGTTCACTGCACACACTTCCAGTCTCGCCTGCTCAATTCACACCTTCACTAAAGGGGAGAGCGACGCATTCTTTTGGGTTTGTGTCCCCGTTTTGCTACGATTTGGGTGGCACGACTCGCAAGCTTTCGGGTTTTCTGTGGGACGTGTGAGGACAAATGATCCAGGTGGATTCAGTCTATTTTCAAAAGGCCAAACAATGAATATGTTAAGTGTTCTTGAATTTGGAAACGTGACAACAACAGAACAGTCTTTGTGTGACTCTAAAGAGCGCAAGATTGCTGTGAATTTAAATATGCCTAGTTGACAGTCAGTCAATATCACTTGCCCATAACCGGACATGTATTGAATCATTTTGTCATCAGTGGTCAACACCATCTTCATAGATCATAATATTGACTAGGGCAGTCTATTTTTGGCGATTACAACAAAGGCTCCATGTTGATGCAAATAAATGTAGAAATAGAAACAAAAAAATCTGTCACTTTTTTCTTTTATGTCCAGTACCTGTGCATGTGTAGTCAAATGGAACAAATAATTGTGATTCTAATGTGTTACTTTTATTCCCTTCCTACTTGTATGTTTCACATACTGTTTATGTTCTATTGCTGCCAAGTTTCGACATGGACACAATGCATTAGGAGATTATTTCTACAGATGTAAGTGTATACGGCACAGCCATAATGACTATTGTTCTGTGGAACTCGGATAATGCTGCAATTCACTTGTGTCAGTCACTCTCCTGCCCACATCCGTAATAATAGTCTTGTGTAATACCTGTTTTGGAAAAAAAGTTGTAAATCGTGTAATTGAGGAAAGCTATTTAAAAAAGAAAAAGACAAACCCTAATCTAATAAGAGGAGTATAAAAAACAATTTCCTCAGTTATTTACAAGAGCTAGAGGGGGTATACATATCTAATTACAAATCTAAAAACTGGCAGGATATTAACCAGTCCCTTTTCTTTTTTTAATTGAATTTAAATGTAATAATGTAGAGCAAATACAATATCAAATAAAAGTTACTAAAAACAACAATGATAAACAGTAGTGTAGTGTGTTTTTTTAGTGTTACCAATAGAAGGTTTTCTGTGTCCGAAGCTGATGCTTTCAGAGTTTGACCGGCCAATGTTTGTTTGTGATCTTTTGCAGAAAGAGCACCGATCCGTTAACAATGTTTGAGATGTTTACTATTCATATATTTAATTTTGTCATGTTTCTGCTTTTTATAGGACGCCTTTGTGGAGTTGTACGACCGCCAGAGGGACTCGGTCCTCTGCTCTTGGCCCTCCATCAAAACTGTGTTTGGATTGGCGGCCATCGGGGCGGCCAGCCTGACAATCGGTGCATACCTGTCACAGAAGTGAACACACCTCTTCGTCCAATTACTACAACGCTCTTTTTCTACCATAACTAAGACTTTTCCCGGTGCCTCTTGTTTAAGACTTCTGCTCATCCTGAGAGACAACCTTCAATCTCTTCAAAAGACCTCTTGATCTTCTTCATGTCAAAATAAATCAAAAACTGGGGCAGAGAAGAGCAGAGACACATATGGGACGAATCACAGGCATGCATCTTTTATTTGATTTTTTCCCCTCATTTTTTGACCTGTAACTTTTCAACGCATGAGTTTTAGTGTCTACGTTGCACGTGCGGACAGGGCTCACGAGAGGCATTCAGTGAATGGGCAGTGATGAAGGCAAGACGGAAGCCATTCCGTTGGTCGCCTGAGAATAGCACCTCCGTCCACGTTTGAGTCCATATTGGTTTACAGTAAAATTAAGCTCTAACCATTCATTCTTGGAAAACAGAATTTTGCTTTTTAAAATACTTGACAATTTAACTTCTTTAACTTATTTTGATCTTAGTGATCATTGTATCTAAACTGGACAGATTTGAATAGTTTTTGTTTAATAAAATTGAATTACGTGACAATAATATTTCCAGAATATTTGGTTTTGACAGATATCTAAACAAGAATAAGACGCCATGGTAACATTAAATATTACATCATTAAGTAAGTAAAAACAACAGATATTATTGTATGATCAAAATGTTTGTTTTTTACCCCCTGGCTGTCAAAATTTAACTTTGAAATGTTAGAATTGTTTTCCAAAACCTGGACTTGTGGGCCAACGGAGTAAAACATGGAGACACGTCGGGCGCAGTAATTGCCCCGGTCTGGAGCGGGTGACTTGAGTGTTTTTTTGCACCGAGACTTGAAGAAGAGACAAAAACACATCGTCCCAGAGGTGGGAGCCAGGGAAAAAAATGTCACACGCTGATGAATATCCTGCGAAAAGTGTTGAGCACAGCACAAAAGGCAAGAACGGTCGAGGTAAAAAAAACATTTATCCCAAAAAAAAAGGGAGTCGGTCCCTGCAACTATCAGCATTCCTCAGGCAAAGTCAACACACTCCTGCTAAATTATTCCCAAATAATCATCCGGCGGCAAGAGCTGTCAAGAACCCTTTTCTGGAGTTGCTACCTCTGTTCCTCTCACAGATTTGAGGGCAGGTGTAGTCTGGACTTGGTTTGAGCAGCGATGGCTCCACAAAGACATAGACAGTTGTTGACAAGTGGAAGTCTGCAGAGGCTGAAGTGCAATTTTGGCTTTTTCAGAGAGGCCATTTTGTCCCATGCGCGAACCAGTCTGTTCAATTTGCGTTATCCATGTTTGTCTTGTGTACAAGCTTAACGGTTTCAGAAGATTTTTATGATTTCTTTGCATGGCTGAATGGACAGAATACGCATATTCATATTTATAACAAATTAGAATAGACATAGCATTACAAATCTATTTATTTAGAGGTACCAGTTCTCATTTTAATTGTATCCCATGTCCTACCGAATCACACTGTAATTACATTGTTTCTTCTGGCTGCTATTGTAATGAAAAAAGTTAATTTCGGTGTCGTATTCTTTTATGGCTGCTCTACTGTTTTAACCTGATAGCGTCAAACTGCCACCATTTTCACAGTATATACTGTAGTTCTCGAGAGCTGGAAACCAAAGTTAACTTGTATCAATATCTCTTCAAAAATGGTAAACCTTCAAAAAACTTTTAAGTTTGAGGAAAAAATTGTTGGGTTTGACTGACTGTGGCTTATGTTTCATTGACTGATTCTGGTAACGTTATTACCATGAACATGCCTAGAATCTGTTACACAATTTAGAATTGGAAATAAAGCTCAATCTCAGAATTTATTTTAGCATTGCTTGTACACTGTAAATACAGACTAAAGGCAACCTGGTATATTTTATGTACATTTTATTTTACATGTATATTTGTTTAAAACAAATTTATTTATACCATATGCTTTTTTCCCCTCATTTATGAAGCAATGTTTCTACCTTTAAATGAAGCGTTTTACTAATTTTAGACAGTAATTGTCAGACAAATTATAATCCTCTCTAATAATCTACTTTCCAAATTATTTATTGTGTCAAAATGTAAGAACACCTTTGAATCTTATTCTTAACATTCTCAAAAACAAAATAGACTCTTTTCAAATTTCTGGAGTTCCTAACCTTCCTGCAAGTTGCTATGTTGAGCGCCCCCTACTGCAGACACTGTATCCACACGTTTCTGATACAACTCTATTCCTAATTATATAACATGATATTATGGCTTTTTATCACATCTTATGCTCAAAACACTAACACTTGTTTGTAACATGTCACCTTGCCAACATACGTAACTCCAGTCTGTTTCTGTGTGGTTTCTGAGTGGGACAGTGTAACAGCAATATACTGTAATCATTTTTTTTTTTGTGCAAATATGAATGTAGGCACTATGGTTGCTGTACTGTTTTATGTCTATAACCTTGCAAATCCGTAGCACTTATAAAGAAAAAAAAGTGAATTGTGTTTTTTCTGCTGTTTACTGCTATATCCACAATAAGCTAGCAGGATATTGTTCCTAAAATAAACCAGATTTCTCAAGCCACATCACGGGTTGTTTTTGACTGCACTCACCTTTTGCACTGTGTAGAAGAATTCCACTGGCTGCCTCTGAGTCAGCTCCGACAAATGGCCCTGTTGCAATGAATGCATATTTTACAATCTTTTTTAAGGATAAGACATTATGAAAGGCACACATAGCAATGGTTTACTGATGTTATCCGCTGTATTGCAATTGTGTCAGGCGGAAATGACTTTCAATGATTGTCAATATTTCTATGATGAAATATAGCAAATACATAACAAAAGGTGTTGATACTGGGAGCAAGACACTACAAATGCATTCGGCTGTCATGAAAGACTATATAAATTGGCTTACTAGCTTTGAGTAAAAGTATAAATTTGTCAGAAAAATAAATAGTAAAGAAAATTACAGATACCCGACAACAGGACGTATGTACGGTAAAATACTTAGTTAACACTGTGTGATATTAAAAAGCCACAACCTCCATCAGAAGGATGCATTGCTGGCAGTATAGATAGAGCTCCTAAAATTGAGAAAAGGAAAGACCTGACCACAAACAATCTTCTTTGTTGCATTATAAAGTGCATCATGACATAGACAGTATCAATAATTAAGATACAGTTTGATGTCTTTTTTGTCTCTATCTATTTAGATCTAATATTTGTTGAAGGCCATATGTCTCTGAACTGGTGTGTTTTTGCAAATACATATATTTTTATTATGTTGTTATTACGCATCATGAATATATGCAACTCTGAAACACTATTGTTATCATCAATTTGGGGTATGATTATCATTCATTACTACGTTTATTATTATTAAGAGGAATAACCCCTTGAAATGAATCATCCCTTCCCCCTGCAGTCACCTTATGCAGTTCTTATCTCTCAAATTGTCTTAAAATGTTGCAAAAACAGTGAACAAAACGCACAAATAGGCAGGCATAGATTCTATTACTGAGCAACATTTGAAGGACATAATTTCAAGGACCTCCAGTCGCACCACCCCAGGACACTTTTAAATCCACTTTGAGAAACGTCTTCAGATTCACATTCAGGCTGCATCCCAAACATAAAATTTATTATTATTATTGGTCACCACTTGAGAGCCATCACATCTTCCATCTTCCCAGTGTATTTATTTGAACAATGAGCAGCAGACTGAGCCGCCCTGCCCCATCACCATTCACCACACATCAAAGCTGTCCCCAAACACTGCATGTGTCATCCCCCAGTCTTCTCTTTCCTTGCTCCCCCAAAAAGGAAAAAAGAAAAAAACCCTCATGCCCTGCGGCTGCTTTTTCACCGCCTCTGTTCTGATCACTCTTGTCTTCAAAGTCCTACTACAATTAAATTTAGTAAAAAACCATGATGCGGTAAAACTAATATTGAAATTGATAAAAACGATAGCGAGGCTGTAGCTAAGAAAGATAGTGTGTTTTGTATCATGTGTGGGTTGATCCCAGAGGAGACTGAGGGCGAAGTGGGGAAGTTCATTTGGGTTTGGAGCTTCATGTAATCCCCATGCATATAAAATGTATGACATGCTCAGAGGAGGAATTTTAAATCACATACTTTCAAAAGACGGTCCAGTGTGCAGGGAGAGAGCCAGACAGGGAGGGCAGGAACGAGGGGAGCCGTCCTGCCTCTTCAGCTTTAGGGCTACAAGGTGTCGAGGAGGCTTTCCCCGGCCAGTATCACAGGGGAGAATGGCTGATCAAAGCAGGCTTGTCTGGTGGAAGTCTGGTCCAGATTTAGGCCTCATTTGGAAGTCCATTAGATCCACACACATAAGTACCTTTGCCTAATTTGGAAAAAGGGAGTCAAAAAAGGGTTAAAAACTTCCAGCTAAGCTCACTATTTCCGATGAGAGATCAAAGACGGTAACTCGCAAATCATTAAGTGCTTGTTTCAATGTTCAGTGAAGAGGAGGTCATTACCAGAGCACCCACCATTTCTGTTCATAAATGAATAAAAGATAGCTATGGTAGGCATAGTTTTGGTGATTAAATTATCCATCCATCCATCCATCCATTTTCTACCCTTTAATCCATTTCTGGGTCAGGGGGGTGGCAGTCAGAGATGCCACCCAAGTCTCATAGCACCAGCCCCTCACTGATCCTCTGCAGGTGGTGAGTCCACAGGAGGACGGCTGCTCTCTGAGTGTGAGCATAGCCTTGATCTTTCAGTGGGGGCTTTGGGCAAAGTGGGGTTAAGTGTCTTGCCCAAGGACACAACGACAGCAGTCATCAGTGGGAGTCGGTGGAGAAGGTGTAGAGGTGGGAATTGAACCCACGACCTTCAGGCCTGAAGGCCAATGCTCTACCAACTGAGCTACTGTCGCCCCTGATTACTGATTAAATTATAATATAAAAATATTGAACTGGTATTATAAACATAGCCTTCATTTAATGAATGATTGCACTTCACAAGTTGATGAAAGTCAAAACTACTAAGTTGTCCCTCACCTGTTCTCAATGCCTGTTGCTTTTCAACATCACTCACACAAACCTTCTATAAACATTCAGTAATGTTAAGTGTATTGCCTAAAGGCGCAATATGAACGACAGATTTTTTCAAGTGGAAAACTATTTCTGGATTTGGGTAAAATAGATTACCACACTTCCTGAACTATAAAAGCCACATGTATAAGCTGCACCAAACAAGAAAATACATGTTTTCCACATATGCTGCTTATAAGCTGCCGGCTTTTATGTTGTAAAGTAGACTTTTTTAACTGGTCACCACATAATTTAATGACGAGGTGTTTAGCTTAGATTCAAATAACTAGAAAAAAGAGCTTAGTTTTACAGTCCTGAAATTAAGGAAATAAAATGAATGTCAATGGAACAAAAAGCGTATGCCTAATAACTAATGTTGAAAATGGGTGAAACATTTTCACCAGTCTATGATTTTGAGGTATTGTTCTGATTTAGTCAGACATTGGTAAGGCATAACATTTAGAAATAACTGGTTCATTTATCATAATTATTTTATTACCATTGTATCAGGAAGTCAGGAGCTATGAATTTGTTTTGGCTCATGGTGCAAATGAAAGAAGTAAACAATAGATTAAAGGAATGCATAAAAAAAATCTTCCATAAAATATTGGTCCCAATATATTAAACGTACATTGTTCACCTTTTTCAAATTAAATAATCATGATTAATTCACTGTCCTTTAGAAAATTTCGACCAAATGAAAAACACCCAAACAGCTAAGCTAGCACACATGTTCACAGTGAAGTTAGCGTAACAGGAGGCACATAGCCGAACTTTAATACACTTTTACTTACGTGTAGAAACAATATATACAGTCTGAGTCTATGATATTTGCATGATCGTCCATAAATGAAATCGCACCGCCTCCAGCACATGTACCGCTCGATGACGAACTTTTCAATTGTAAGATAGCGGCCTCTTGTGGTCACTAACAGCATAACCTCAATTGTGCTTTAATTTAAGTCTCAGAGAGTGTGATAATACAAGGGCTGTTATATGCAAGTATGCAAACACTAAAGTATTTTGAGAGTGAATATTAACACTGCCTACAACAGCCTGAGCAGGTTCATTCTGCGCTGCCCCTACAGGACCCATCACTGTGACATGTACCAGCAGCTTTTATTTTTTTTATTTTTATTTTTTTCATTGTTTTTTTTTTTTTAATTGAAAAATATAAAAAAATAACAAACAAGGCTTGAGGCTCAGGTATGCAAGGCTTCAGCTTTCAGTGTAAACAAAAATATATAAGATACACACACAAAAAAAAAAAAAAAAAAAAAAATTCTTTACAGTGAAAATTCGTTACATACATCCTTGGTCTTCATGGCTTTGACATTAGTACAATATTTCAACGAGGTCAAATAAGAGGACATTAGTGATTCAAATACAACCAGTTTGGGTTTTTGGTTGAGGTACTTACAGCTATGGATATGATACTTGGCCAGTATTAATATTAGATTGGAAATAAACCGTTTGTTTGGAGGGAGATTTTTTAAATAAATACCAAACAAAATATCTTTAAGGTTTAGTTGTAAATCTATAGTAAGTTTTCTATTCACAAATAGATTAATGTCTTTCCAAAATACTTGTGTGTAAGAGCATTCCCAGAAAAGATGACTGATTGATTCTACAGTGACATGACAAAATGAGCAAATGTACCAGCTCTCTGTCCCAAAGACGTCACTCTCACTGGTTGTTTTTCATTTATAAATGTTATTTTTTGGATTATCCTCTTTATTTCGTGTGAAAAAATAACTTGGCAAATATGCTTTCCCCAAACGACTGGAATCTCCTTCCGGCCTCTATTCGCTCTCTACCTTCTTTTTCTCTTTTTAAAGTTGCTGTACAAAGGCATCTATGTAATGTTTGTCACTGCTACTGAACTTTCTTTTAAATATTATATCCTTTGGTTTTCAATAGTTTGAGGAGTAGGGTGACCTCTGACCTCTGAGAGCTCTGTGTGTGAGTGAATGTTTCTGTCCTTGTATTGTTTTGTTTTTTCTGTCTGTTATTTTATTAAATTTATTTACTGTAATTTGTTATGTTTTTTATTTGTTACACTTTACTGTAACTGCATTTATTTGACAACCGCTGATGCTACTTGTGTTGCTATTTTTGAGGACCCTCCTGAAAACGAGATGATATCCTCGTAATAAAGAAATGTAAATGATGATGATGATAGTACTGTCCACTAGATTTCACATCCATGCATTTTTGGGCGTCACATCTTTGGTTCGTATTTTTCCAGACAGAAAAGTGGAGGCTCACACAAACTCAGCTCTCAGTCCAGAGCTGAGAGACTCAAAGGGCTCTTTCTTGATTTGAAACAAGGCAAATTTGTGGTCTTATTTTTTCACATATATTTTTAAAAAAAAAACGTTTTGGTACAGTGCCTTTTACAGTTTAGATGTATTTAAGTGGTTTTGGAACAAATTGCTCTTTAGTATTTGGCCTGTGTAGCTTCTGACATTAGAATACGTTTTTTCCCAGCTTTTCTTCAGCTCGCCGCGCCCATCATCCTGATTTGAGATATCCTCAGGGCAGCATGGCACGGAGACAGAGCTCCAGGGCTTTCACTAAGGCAGCTCAGCTTCTATGTTGAATAGTATTATAAAAGAGGCATTAGAATAGATCTTTTTCACACGAGACAAAAAAGTTAACCATCAATAGACTTCTAAAACAATCCTGTGAAAAAGAATATGGCCATCTTCCGGTTACATCCCACCTCCAAAATAGAAATACAAGTAGTGTCCTAGCAATGTCAAACAAAAAAATAATGGTGACGTTCAAGCATAAAATCCCAGACAAAAATGTACATTCAGTGTCTGTTTATTTTTCTGCTGCCAGAAAAGGTCAAACCAAACATTCATACGGCTGAAGTGTCATTTATCATGCTAGATTAACAGTACATCTTTGAAAGTTTCTTTGAATTACATCTTTACAGTGTATTTACAAAAAAAGACAACATTAAAACTGCGATCTTTAAACATCCATAAAAATAAAGCTTTCTGCAAGATGGTAACCCAAAATGTATTTACAGTCAGAGGAGATGAGCTCTTGTGATATGACACATATTGATATTTTGTCTTCAAATTTCTGGGAAAAACTATTTCAAAAACAAACAAAAAACTTCTCAAATATAAAGCTTTGCCAATAGTGTATTTGTTTAATCCTAAACCAAATTTCATTTATTGCATGTAATTAAAAGGTAACATTCAACAAATAATATTTGCATTACATACATTCAGTTGTTCCAAGAAAAAAAAAAAAATCACTCAAAAATTATAAATATTGATAACACTTGTGAGAAAGGGGGCAGCAAAAACCCCAAACCCAAAAACAGGGCTGGGCATTGTTTTCAATATGCAACATTCACCAAACTGGAGTCCACACATCACGGACAAAGATTATCTACGATTCCAAACTTCAGAATTTGAACATTGAGAGTCGTTTCTTTGACATGAAACCTCCCCCAATGGTAGGTGACCTGAAATTTACATCTGCCAATTTCAATGTCAACGTCAACAAACAAAAACAGCAGAAGAAAATCAGCTACATCATTCTATAGCCCTCAATGTGAAATACCCGTCATGACTCGACCGACCTTTCCCAGGGGCGAGAATGCATATCTATGGTCTTGATTTATCCAAGTACAGCAGAGTTCATTTTGGTACAGTTCAAGCAGTAACTCACTTTTTCAAGGCCTGTGCAAGATAAAGATAGCAGCATTAAGAGTATAATATTTAGAAATGAACTAACGAAAGTGGTCATCAGACCTTGAGCGCGAAGATTAACTGCTTTGTGACAAAGCTTAGTCAAAAATGTGATGTGAAGCAGACAAACAGAGGCCCAAAACTTCACAAGAGATAGGACCACTAAAATTATGAATGTTTTAAGTAGTACTTCATATAGGACTACTAAAACATAAGAATGTAAATAAAAGAAGAGAAACTTGGAGAAATCTTAGCCAGGCCGCTGAAAAGGAAGGTCTCTGGAGTCATGTGTTCAAAAATTCTACTACTTGAAAGAATGAAAAAAAAATAAAAAATAATAATCAGCTTGGTTTAAGGAAGTAGATTTTACATTCTCATTATGAACAGCAGTTTCTCAGACAAATCTCTACAAGAAGAGCCTCATTTGCACATCGTGGTTCGAGTGGGATGTGCCAAAACAAGCTGGAAAACAGTGCTCGGAGCCCTCGTGTGATCCGCCGCGGCCTTCACACATACGTACACATGTGGCCTACAGTCTGCACGTGCGGCAGTGTCCAAACACACTGCAATCTTCAGTGCACAAACACCACAAAACTCTTTGGTTTCTGAGCCTCTAGAGTGCATCTCATTGCTGCAGGCGTCTACGTGAGATCCAGTCTGACTGCTCAGCCTTTTAGTTCCCAAATACAACCACCAACCATCAGGACTGTCACCGCTCGAATTGATGAATATCATTCCGTAGCAATCTCCTCCTTACGCACATCTGCAAACGAAAGGGAAAATGGTTTACTAGAGTTGAACAACATTTTGAATTTCAACACACACACATATTGCCTGTGGTATACATCTAGTTATTAAAGACGAGAATATGCACATACAGTATTTTGATTACGAAAACATCCATGCTGGATTTGGAACCCCACTGAGAAGTTATTAGTCTCACAAAACATGCACTTAGTTTACAGTACGAGCCAAAAAACCAACAAACTTGATTGCTTCATATTGGGCACAACTCTCAAAACAGAATTTTAAATGAATGTTCATAATGATACTTTACACCGTTTAGTACCATTATTTTCAAAGCTCTCATTATGGCATCCATTGTTATTACACAATCCAACCGTAATGCTACGGTTATGTAAAAGAATCATTACTTAAATTGTTTATGGTCATAGATTCAAAATTACCATTCCTCTCACGTGTGACCAGTTTTACAAAATCAAACTTAAAAATATATATTATACACATGTGAATAGGTTAAAAACATAGATGCAAACTCAATCATTGTTTTTGATCATGTTTGTCCACACAAATTTCTGAATATTTTGTAAATTAACTTTTTTTTGTATGGGCCTTTGGGAAGAAAAACAAATCAAGACTATTGTGTAAATCCTACTGAAACCCTCAACACTTCACCACACCAGCAGTGCAAACCTGAAGCGGCCGGCATGCTCTCACAGCTGGAGGCCGTGTGTCCTACCTGGGATGGGGCTATGGGGCGGGGTAGGGGGAGAGCTCAGGGTCCAGGATTGAGGGGGGGAGGAGGTCAGTGCTGAGCGTCTATACCTGCAGGGCTGAGCACCAGGGCCTGGAGGATGTCTGACAGGGAGATGATGCCCTCGATGTTGGAGTGTTCGTCCACCACAACCAAGCGGTGCACCTGGGAAACGCTAACAATGATGAGTTTCTGCATCGTTGCTGCTGATGAATAAATAATGATCAACGCTCACTTCAGCTTTGACTATTCTGTCCACGGTGGTTTCCAATGTCTCCATTTTATGGCACTTGACGACCCCTTCGAAGTACTGGGAGCGGTGTTTTAAAGCCTGTGTGACTGTGATGTCAAGGTTGTTGTAGGTTTTCTCCGCAGCCAAATTCTGAACAAAAACACTTTTGTTAAAAACACACATTAGAATACAAAATATGATGACCTAAAGGGAAACATTACACTTAGTCCCTTTGTTTTACACTCACTTCATTGGAGGCAAAACAGAATACACCTCAAAGAGAGATAAACAGGTTTTAAGTATTTGATTTCAAAGACTAGGGTCATATTAACGTTTTTTTGTGTTCATTAGATTCCTGCTGGAGGAAGAGTGTGTGGATCGAGAAGACTGAGCTCAGAGACTACTGCCTCCACAACAAATAAGGCCAAAGACAATGAAAGAATACTCAAATGTATTGTAGAAATCAGAACCAGAATTTTCTTCTATCAATCACCCGTTTTAGTTCAGTTGTTTATAAGATATTAGGAGAAGCAATTTTTTGGACTTGTCAGAAATATTGTTTTTCTTCACAGACAGTGAGAAAAAAAACAGTACATCACATGCCTTTCTACAGTGCTTCTCCTTTATAGAATGCATATAGAACTTGCATTGGAGCCTACACCAAGTATTTTTTATATAATACTTCAAAATGAAACTTACAATGACGTCAAACTTTGAATAAATATCCACAACCTTGCCTAAGAAGAAAAAAATTTATATATTATAACAAGTCCCAGAACAGTAAAAACTCGAATGCTTAGATCTTACCCGACTCATCGACCACAGGCAGCGCAGACACCCTCCTCTCCACAAAGATGTTGAGGGCTTTGATGATGGGAGTGTCAGGGTGGATGAAAGCAATCTCACGATATGTGCCGATGCCCAGCTCTCCCAGAGACTGCTTCATAAAGGCTGGCTTTGGCATTTCGCGCATCTGAAAAATACATTTAATGAATTGAAAGGATTTTTTTTTTCTTCTTGCAAGCACAACCTTAAGCCACCAGGGGGCAGCGATAGTTTATAGTAATGTGGTCAACTTACAAATAGCTGAAGGAACTTGAGGATCCTTTTGTGTGTGAGAATATAAAGTGCATTTCCAGTGATGGGATCGATGACAGGCAGACGGTGGATTTTGTTTTTGATGAGAGTGTACACGGCATCAAACAGACTGCAGGAACAAGAATACAAATGGCAATAACAAAACTAACAACTAGATCCCAACTTCCCAATAATAACTTGATATATTGTTTGATTTTAACTATACATTATTCAATCATTTATAATCATTTAATAGCATTACCTTGCCTCAGGAGATATGTTGACCAATGGTTTGAATGTTGCTTGAAGGTAAACCTCTATATATTATCAATAAAACACACACATTAGATGATAAATGATAATTCAAATGAATCCATTAAAGTAACATGATGCCGACCTCTCCACGTCTCAAGTTTATGCTCCTCCAGTTCGTATATCTGCACCTGAAAAAAAATACAAAGTAGACATATATATATATATATATATATAATATATTTCATATATATATATATATAATATATTTCATATATATATATTATATATATATATATATATATATATAATATATTTCATATATATATATATATATATATATATATATATATATATATATATATATATTTATATATATATATTATATATATATATATATATATATATATATATATTATATATATATATATATATATATATATATATATATATTCATATATATATATATTTCATATAGTATATATTCATATATATATATATGAATTATATATATATAATTCATATATATTTTTTATTACAACCACAGGGCCCACATTTACCCACCAATGGAGACTTATAGTATCTGTGTAGAATAATGATGAAGTCTGTGATGGTCAGCATTCCTGTGAACAATAAACAACAATCAAGAGGCCATTTTTGCACAGCTTTAGAACAGTGTAGTCGGGTTACACGGTTAAACAAAAATTGCAAATTGACAGCAATGATTCAAGAAGTTTGCAAACAGAAAAGGGACAAAAAAACTGTCAAAATGCGTTGCACATCTCAGGTCTGACTATAAATATGTTGAGAGATTGACTTGAATATTTATTAGAACGCTTGATTGGACATTTTTGCAAGGAATATTTCATTTCTACTAGGAACGAAATTGTTAGAACTCTATAAACGTTTTCTGAAATGTGTGGGAATTGTGTATGAGGTTGTTACTTTTAAAAACATAGTTATCAAAAATGACATCGCAATGTTGACGAAAAATATCACAATAAGATATTTTGGCAAAATCGTGCTGTAATATTGTTCCAGGGGTGTGGTGCAGGCTCCACATTTATAATTCATCACTGACTGACTTTCATTAAGCTCGACAAAGTGAATCAAGCAGCGTCTACATCTCCATTCACAGTTTGGGCTTTGATATGTGCATTGTTTTTTTTATTAAATTAGAATTTTCACTTATATTTTTTTTACAAGTCATTCACATCAAAATAAGTAAAAATGTTTACACATAGTATAAAATCGCAGTTTGGGATGACAAATAAGAAAATTTATTGACATTTACAGGAAGTAGAGCAGAGTAGGGATAAAGAACATTTACAACAAACACTGAAATCAATAAACATTCTTAATCTGACAGATCAATCTCAGAGTACAGTGGAGGAGTGTTGGCCCAGTCCATTACACAGTCATGCTGGGATATTTTTTTTAAATAATCTTTAGCAAAATCTTGAATAAAAGAATGTTACCCAGTCAAAGTCAAGTTTAACCTGTCACACACCAATCTGCAGAATATAAAAAGTCAACTCTTCAACACATGAGTCATTACTGAGCTTAATGGCGTATGACAGCTATAATGAGTTCTGCTCAATAGCACATTGCTCCAGCAACCGTGACAAGCAATAAAATGTACAACTTTATGACAGCGTTCATTTTAAGGTTTGAAGAACAAAGCAAGGTCATCTTACAGAATAATGAGAAATTGGGAAAATGTGCTCGGAATTGTTTTTCATGAGATTTTAAAGCAAAAGTGATCTATGCATGACGTCTATTTTCAAATTGTAATTTTCTGAAAATAATTCCTCATAAGATATTCTGATTCTACAAGCATATAAATCAAGATATTTAGTTCTTTGCAAGGAATTTTTACAGTTGATAGTTCTGATTGTGACATTGCAATAATACAAATCTAAGAACAAAAATTGCTCTTACCCACAAAACTTTGCTTCTCTGTGTCCCATAGTGGAGCAGCTCGTACCCCGTTTGCCACTAAAGCAAAGAATGCTTTTTTAACCTGTAAAGTAAAGCCATAATAGTTTTGTAAATATAATCATCTCCTTTGGTCATTTAGCCCACACTTGTTATTTAGTGAAAGAATGTTGAACCCTTATGAGAGACTAAAATTCCACACATCAAAGACTTGTATCAGGTCATTGTTTAACAACTTTAAGACATTTGCATACAAATCACTGTGATATACACCAACCTCTTTATGAAACATTAACTTCAAACAGTTTTGTTCTCAAAGCAATTAGGAAATGAATGCAAGAGATCATTACTAACTTGGAGAGCGGTATCAAAGACGACCAACTTGGAACTTGTGGGAACAATGTCGTAGCACTTATGGGATTTCATAAAGCGCATGTAAATGTCACTTTCGGGTTCAGCAGCTGGAAAACAAACCATAATCTTACAGTAAAGCCACAGTGAAAGCTAGAAAACAACCATTAGTCAGAGTGCTGCAGCATATAACTCAAAGAAAGGTCCGCAGCAGCACAGGTGGTCCACAAGCTGCAGTCTTAAACAGGCTTCGTATTATAAAGACTTTCTTTAAAAATACATGTTTCAAAACCTATCACTTGTGCGTGCTCCATTATAATTTTTGTAAATGTAATCACAAAAAGTCTGTCATTACGACTCATTCAAACATGGCGTGAAGTTTGTGAAATGTCATCACTAAATATAACCAGAAGCAGAGCACGTCCAAACAGTGAGATACAATGTAGCTAAAACTCTTTCTGACGTCATTGAAGCACATGTGTGCTCGGACCAACAACACTCACCATCATCATCGAGATCAAGTTTCTCCAGCATGCCTTCAAACAGCCCGTAAACCTGCGGACACAGACACAGGTCAGGACCATAGACAGTAGTAGACTGTGTAGCGAGGACGAGCCCCGCACGCAGCGGTCAGTGCGCCACAAACTTTACTGCAAACTGGGACTGGACCAGAGGGAGACGCACTTTCTCCACGTCCACACACAGCGACCTGCGGAGCGCGCAGAGACGCGTTTGGACTTAAAAGGACAGACACGGCGTGGCTTATTTATTCATTTACAGTGACAATGAAACATCCCAAGAAGATGGGGCGCAACATTAGCGTCAGTCTTATGAGACCGCACCCCCGTAAAGAGAGAGTGGAACAGTCCTGGTCCGCGGGCTGCAGAGGGGAAGCAAAGCTCACACACAGCTACTGTACCGGCATGTTTGGATTATTCCTCCGTCAATGAAACACACGGCTCATTGTCCAAGTACTGAGCCGACAAAACGCACTCGCCACGACGCGACAGGTTCACGTCGAGGTGGCAGAAAAAGCAGGAAGTGCCTGCACGCTGAGACACACCCCTCCGAAGCACAACAAGAGCTCTCTCCTCACCATATTAGGAAATCCCCACGTTGCTTAGCAGCAAGAAGCTGGGGATGCCTTATGAGTCAATACAGATAAATGTGCCATGACCCAGACATGCAACATCACAGGGATATAAAAGACCTTCTTAAACACAGCAGCAGATCAATTAACAAATACATAATGTGGCAGCACATTCACACAAATGCCTTGTCATTTTGAGATGCATATTTGCATACACACACATTTGCCTGTTGCTAAACCATTCCCTTGGTGAATGACTTGCAAAGCAGCACAGCAGAATGGAAAAGTCTGAGTCTCAGTTTGCCAAACGTGTCGCCCTGTAATGGTGACACAGCGATTCTCCAGCCAAAATGCAGCCAGCGCACTCATAAATCTGTTGTGCTGCATCGCAGCGGGACCACACTAACATACGCATGTCTATCACACAAACAGCTTCTATTCAAACTAGAACTATTCCTAGCAACTCTACTTGAATGTGGCAGCAGAGTTCTGACAGGAGACAAGGGCAGAGACATTAGTCTCACCACAATCTAGAATCCTTGGTGTTAATATCAGCAGAGTACTATGTTTGCGATGAAATATTGATCTGGCCTTGCAGGCTCCAGTCCACTATCACTCACTGCTGAGGTCCCAAGACAGCCCAACAGATAAGTATTCATTAAAATGCCAGATACATGATTGATGATAAGCAACAATGTAGCTAAAAGTAAACACTGAGGCTGCAATACTATAAAATTATGTTGTTTTTTTTTTTTTTCTATGTTATATCCTTTTTATATTCAAAAGGAGCTAGAACCTTTAGGAAGGAGAATATGCGCAGTGCACCATTGGATCAAAGACACTGCCCCATTTTAAGAATTCACAGACTACTGCAATTCTTCACCTCAAGGTCATCCAAGTCAATGCTGCAGTCATCCTAAAGCTGCAAACAATGCAAATAATCTCAGAACCAGTTAACTGAGTACACTTTGCATAACACAGAAAGGCTGAGCGATTTTGTGAAAGTCATTGCCAGTCTGTTTATGTTTTAAGCACTCAGTATCCAAATGCAATTAATATTTGAGATCAGTTTGTGTGTTCAGGGGCTACACATCAACTCTGGGAATACAAAAACTGATATTGTGCATATTTTGCTTGAATACTTGGCTGTTCACAATTTATACGAAGATACTGTAAGTTTGACCCACTTCTTTAGTTCCAGGTTGTTTACCAATTATTATCACTCACGCAGAAATATGAAACCCCAAAATTATGTCAGAAGGTCGCGTCAATGTGACATCACAACATTCCAAAGAGTCTATAGTTGCTAAAAGTCGCCACAATTACGGAGTCAATCCACATGAAACAAAAACCACCACAAAGTTCCACCTCTTCTATATCAATACATATCATTACATACTGTACATGAGAAAATGGCACATTATTTTTCTCATGAAGTTGTCAAGAAGTGGTGACAATATTCAAAAAACATATACATTGGCCAGTACTTTAAAACTTTAAATCAAAATTATAATATGGCCGGTTTGTGGATACTATCACTAATCCGGGTTGTATTGGAACCTGCCCAACAACTGAAATAGAATTGTACATGAACAAAACCTATTTCGATAATTTACATTGACATTCTGGTAATACAATTCTCCATCTCTGCTTAATTTAAAGTTGTGTTATGTATGCAGGACCCACTTGTTGTGAGGTAGAGTATGACGAAGGAATAGGCGGCTTGGTGGAGGACGGGAGGCTGAAGAGCTGTCCCGTATCAGGGGGGTTGGAGAGGGAGCGAGAGCGCACGGTCGGCTCCAGACGCTCCGGGCTTGGTCCACTCTGCGTCACTGGGGTGAAGATGGGCTGGCTGGACACTTGTGTCGGGGTGGAGGGCGGCGTGGAGAAACCAGAAGCTGCGGAAAACAAAACTACAAATAATTTCAAGACTATATTACATTTTATCTTGAGTCTAAAATAAAGATGAATAAAAATAAGGTATTTCACCAATTGTTGGACACAAAACACAAACATTTAAGTGGACAAGACTAGCTTTAACATGTATTATGGCTTTATATTTGACTATATTCGCACACATAATTCCCTCATTTATTCCCTGACTATAACGTTTGAAAACTCCTGATGTAACGACAATGTAATGGCACAAAAATGTCAACAAATATTAATGATCTATTTTAGGTGGTCCCAGTTAGAGATAGCATTAATCCTGTCTTATGTTGCATACAGTGGGAATCTGCCGCAGGTCATGGGCCCTGACAGACATTGTAGATGACAGAGCCCTGGCCTCACTGCTGCTGACAGAAGGGATGTTCCTCTGCTGTGGAGCAATGTGGCAAAGGACGATATACATATTACACACACTATAGAGCCAGCAGTCATTTATAACACCACTGATCAGTAAACGTGCCCTTAGCTTAATCTACAAGACTACGTATTTCCGGGTATCAAACACATATGTCTAGTATAATATTAAATAACTATTCACTTGTCAAAGAAGGGGGAATACTCAGCCATTGAACCCAGAAGACAATGGGTCTCCTTTAACAACTGGCCTACTTTATGAATGAGTGCTCAGCTGCGCTGAAACAGCTGATGATAACTGAGACACCAGGGTCATTTTAATGAAACGCCCCATAATACTTGTTACTCATGGATAATGCCACAGTGATGCACAAATTATGGGTCAATAAGCTTTTATCAAAAATAAATCACAGCTATTCATTGAAAATGCCAAAAATCATTTCTAAATTTTTTTTTTTTTTTTTTTTTAGATGTATTTAAAATTAAAATGTCTGGAGAAATCCAGAGCCCACATTCTAACAGAGCCAGGCATCAGAACCAGAGAAGCGCCCAGAGGAGGGGAGAGCGGGGAAGGTTGGAGGGACAGAGGCTCTGAGCTCTGAGCTCCACCTCTGTCAGGAGAGTGTGTTTAAGATGAAACATTCAGCTGAAAAGCAGGCCTCATTTATCAGCACTGCATCTGTGCTATATGGGACGACATGTTTCATTCGGTTAAAATAAGCTTCCCTGTGCAATCTATCTCTTGTTTGTAGAACACGATGTCTGAGACCTGACGTAGGATATCAGCGTACCGAGCTCACACGCTGAAATTGACAAATTGCAAAGAGAGCTTCACTTTTCCCGCAGGCAGACCTCATGCAGATATTTAGCCGTACAGAGCGTTATAAGAAGGCCAATAAATCAATCTACCAAGGTATCACAACTGGAACTGTTCCAAGAAAATAATGCAACATGGGGTGACTTCAAGTGTGATGACAGTATACTGATGGTACAGAATACTGATGAGAACAATACTAAAGAAATAAAAGGGAACAAGGGAAAAACAATGGACAAAAGGTTGGGAAAGGGAAACGATGGACAGCCTTACAACAAAATCACTTAATTCATTTTTGATTCATTTTTTGCATCGCCTCAAGGGCATCACAAATCTTCTCGGAAGTACACAGTGTAAACCAAAGTATATTAAGAAAAATATATAAACTTTTATATCAAGTAGAGCAGCATTAATCGAAAGTTGGTTGTAACTAAGTGAAGGGCTCTATGAGGGTGATCCGGGTCAGGAGTGGCCGGTGAGACAATGTGTGACCTATTACAATGTCACGAGCGCCCTGTAACTAAATGATATTGAAACGGTTATTTTGAAATAGCCATTGAATCAGTTTGTTATTTGTATTTAGATTAGTGTTGGGATGGAGCTTGGCCTCGCTCTCACATGATAGCACTTCACCTCTGGCGTCACAACCTTACACACAGTGACATGTGACACTGGCTCCGCCCACAGGACATATTTCTATATCCAGACATGGAAAGGCCGCCGTGATGTGGGCCAAATGCTTCACGTTACGCACCGCACATCATGGGACTCCCAGTTGACTTTTATCATCGGATGTGAACGTTAACTTCACTGTGACAAGTGTTAAACTGTCACAGGATGAGAACAGTTTTTGTATTGTTTGACAAACTGGATCGGAATAATAGAAAAAGTAATAAAAGAGAAATTACACTACTACTGTCTAAATAGACCAGTAAGGAAATAATGAAATGGAGTGAAATTTGGTTCTGAAACAATACACATGCTTTTGTTTCTGTTTTTCAATATTTTAATTCGGATGAAAAATATGTTTTCAATTGCCAAAGGGCTCAATTTTTCATCATTTCAGATATCCATGGATAAAGTGTGAGATTGCATAATATCCAACTTTATTTTTTGGCGATTCAGGAGTGTACTGGTGAACATTTTTCTTGGTGTGCTCTTGACATTTGGTTGGCACAGCGCCGCCCTCTTTGGGATGCCTTGCTTTCTCTGTGTCGGTCTTCTTATTTTAGCTGCGCTGCTGTGGCACATTCCAGCACCAGATAAGAGCAGAACTGAGCCTTCTGCACCCTGTGGTCATTAGGGACGACCCAAAACCACCCAGGAAAAAGGAAACCGGCCTGGTGGGAGCATGTACTGTGAAACTAAATGATAGTGTTGCTAAACCAGGAGTCACTACAAATGGTTAGCCTTTATTCAAGATTGATGTATTGTGTCCCGAAGCAAAGTTGTCTCATAGGCCGCTACATTGAAAATACACATAAGACGTATAGAACATAATACAGTAACACAGAAATAAACCTTCTCTGCACTGCCTGATGGTATGCATTTAGGAGGTTCACAGGTGTGGGTAGGAATGAGTTCTTATACTGGCTGGGGTATCTTTTCTTACTTTTCGTTAGGACTGGATAGGAGAAGCTCATCCTCAGAATATAGAACAAGTGAGGGATCTGAGGTGATTTTCTAATAACTCCTCAAATATATGTTGTAAGGACTTTAACTTATGTAACTGTAGCTATACTCACTAATCTGCTTTTGTTTTAACAGCCAAATTGCCAAACCACACACACAATATGGTACAGTGCCTTGCGAAAGTATTCGGCCCCCTTGAACCTTTCAACATTTCGCAACATTTCAGCCTTCAAACATAAAGATAAAAATGTTTTTGTCAAGAATCAACAACAAGTGGGACTCAATTGTGAAGTGGAACAAAATTTATTGGATAATTTAAACTTTTTTAACAAATAAACTGAAAAGTGGGGCGTGCAATATTATTCGGCCCCCTTGCGCTAATACTTTGTAGCGCCACCTTTTGCTGCAATTACAGCTGCAAGTCGCTTGGGGTATGTCTCTATCAGTTTTGCACATCGAGAGACTGGAATTCTTTCCCATTCTTCCTTGCAAAACAGCTCGAGCTCAGTGAGGTTGGATGGAGAGCGTTTGTGAACAGCAGTCTTCAGCTCTTTCCACAGATTCTCGATTGGATTCAGGTCTGGACTTTGACTTGGCCATTCTAACACCTGGATACGTCTATTTGTGAACCATTCCATTGTAGATTTGGCTTTATGTTTTGGATCATCGTCCTGTTGGAAGATAAATCTCCGTCCCAGTCTCAGGTCTTTTGCAGACTCCGACAAGTTTTCTTCCAGAATGGTCCTGTATTTGGCTCCATCCATCTTCCCATCAATTTTAGCCATCTTCCCTGTCCCTGCTGAAGAAAAGCAGGCCCAAACCATGATGCTGCCACCACCATGTTTGACAGTGGGGATGGTGTGTTCAGGGTGATGAGCTGTGTTGCTTTTACGCCAAACATAACGTTTTGCATTGTGGCCAAAAAGTTCGATTTTGGTTTCATCTGACCAGAGCACCTTCTTCCACATGTTTGGTGTGTCTCCCAGGTGGCTTGTGGCAAACTTTAAACAAGACTTTTTATGGATATCTTTGAGAAATGGCTTTCTTCTTGCCACTCTTCCATAAAGGCCAGATTTGTGCAGTGCACGACTGATTGTTGTCCTATGGACAGACTCTCCCACCTCAGCTGTAGTTATCTGCAGTTCATACAGAGTGATCACTGGCCTCTTGTCTGCATCTATGATCAGTCTTCTCCTTGTTTAAGATGAAAGTTTGGAGGGACGGCCGGGTCTTGGTAGATTTGCACTGGTCTGATACTCCTTCCATTTCAATATAATTGCTTGCACAGTGCTCCTTGAGATGTTTAAAGCGTCTAAATCTTTTTGTATCCAAATCCGGCTTTAAACTTCTCCACAACAGTATCTCGGACCTGCCTGGTGTCTTCCTTTGTCTTCATGGTTCTCTCTGCGCTTTAAACAGAACCCTGAGACTATCAAAGAGCAGGTGCATTTATACGGAGACTTGATTACACACAGGTGCATTCTATTTATCATCATCAGTCATTTAGGACAACATTGGATCATTCAAAGATCCTCACTGAACTTCTGGACCGAGTTTGCTGCACTGAAAGTAAAGGGGCCGAATACTATTGCACGCCCCACTTTTCAGTTTTTTATTTGTTAAAAAAGTTTAAATTATCCAATAAATTTCGTTCCACTTCACGATTGTGTCCCACTTGTTGTTGATTCATGACAAAAAAGTAAAATTTTCTATCTTTATGTTTGAAGCCTGAAATGTGGCGAAATGTTGAAAGGTTCAAGGGGGCCGAATACTTTCGCAAGGCACTGTATATATGAAACCGGAGCACCCGGAGAAATCCTAAGCAAATACAGGTAGAATATGCAAAATCCACACAGAAAAGCCTGGAGGTGGAACTGAATCCAGGACCTTCTTACTGTGAGGCACAAGCGCTAACCGATGCACCAACATGCTGCCCAAAACTGGAGTACATAATTTATTTTGTTACATGGATATATTTTGTTTGTCCCAACAGAAGGAGTTGAAAAAAAACAGACTGAACAAATCAGACCGCGTCATGCGGCTTTTTATCTTATTTGAAAACATTTTATCTTTTACATACAGGAGTTGTTTACTGAGTGAGGGCAGGAAAAAGCCGATCTAAAGATGTGATAGAGGCTGAAAATACATCCATGTAAAAACTAGTGATGGAACCAAACTGTTTTGAGAGCAAGGAACAAGTTTTTTGTGGCTTCATAGTTTTCTACTCAAGCTTTAAGTAAATAAAAAATCATTATATTATTATTGTATTGGTCATAATTGTCAAAAATAATAATACTTATAGAAATTAAATACAATTGAATTGACATCCCCTATAAAAGGAAAGCTTTACACAAATAACACATTTTCTGAAAACAAACAAATATAGACCAGTACGGTCTGATTTATAGTCCCCATTTGTAATTATTGTAGCCAACATTGTGCTATTGTATTCACATGTATCACCGCTAGATGTCGAGTTTTCTAACTTTTTTGTGGGGAAATGTGGCTGCTGCATTTAGATAGATTATTCCTGTCCTATGGTCCATTTTTGAGTCTTGGATGGAACAACCCAGAAGATATGTGAAGTGATCTGAACAGAAGAAGATAAATAAGACAGATGTACAAATACATGTAGAAATATTATTTGACACTTAGCCAATTTGTTCAAATAATCTCAAAACAAGTCTTTGGTTAGTCTCGATCCAAAAGGTCCATGAGCATGTGTGCTGACATGCTTGCAATCACACTCCAGGCCGATGAGGGTGTACCCGGAATAAGAATTACCCAATGCTTTTGTATGGCGTCTTCTTTCCTCTGGAAAACGGCTTCACAGGATGCTGGTCCAAAAGTTGCTCTTGGCCCAACGCTACATTCCAGATGTGTGTCAACGCTGAGGACTTCAGAATGCACTCGCTGAAATGAATGAGGCTAGTACCGGCTAACGCATGCACAAATGCGTTTTTTCACATTTTACTTCCCCGCGGCCATAGTTTCTACAGTGGAGATTGGCGTGACTACGTTCGTTAATATTTACAGTCTATGGGATTAACACTACTAACCAGGGTACAGACTGAGTCCATTAAGGATATGTGCTAATTTATGTCCCTTTTACATTTAATGTTTGAGTAAAAGTACTACTAAAATAAAAATCCCTATATAGATAGTAACCAGGAGGGGTTTCTCCTCTCCACAAGTCATAATTCTGCAGCAAGGTTCTGGTCAAAGAATAAATACAATAAAAGCATACAGACTGTACACAACAGGTTTTCAAAAACACAATTACAATCAATGAAATCATTTGCATAATATTATTACTTTCAACCATTTCATTATATTGAGGTTCAATGAAAACAAGTGTGGAAACAAGCGTTGCTGCTGCCACACAAATTTATGGCCGGAGTTGATTTAATAACTGCAGCATTGAGTAGATTTCTGCCGCCTCCATTAAATCAGATGAGAGAGTGGAGCCCTGGGGAGCTGGCTGTGTATTTAGTCATGAGGAGCCTGACGTCAAAGAGACTCTGAGGTGAATGTGAGCCCAGTTTACGCACTGCTCTTTTCTCCATCTGTGGCCAACAAGTAAAATAATAAATGACAACTGTGCAGTGTTTGTGTGTTGCTGCTTAAAGCCGGCGACATTACAATGAGGCAATGCGGCTAGGAGCTAAAACACCAGGTCATGGTTTATACAATTCAACATGTGTTCCAATAGGAAGCCTAGATTAGAGATGGTCCTTTTGTTTTGATTCAACATTTTTTTAAATAAATGCCAATTTAATGTATGTGTGAATGTAACTGATGAAAAAAAACATAATGGGTCAAATTAGAAAAATGTTGAAATCAGGCATATTTTATCAATACCTGTCGCTGGTTTCAAAACAAAGTAGGGCTTTAACGATTCATCTAAACTAGATTTTTAATGAATCGATTTTTTAGTAATCCATCCATCCATCCATTTTCTTCCCCTTAATCCATTTCTGGGTCGGGGGGGTGGCCAGAGATGCCACCCAGTCCACAGAGCACCAGCCCCTCACTGATCCTCCTGCAGGTGGTGAGTCCACAGGAGCTGAGATCTTTCAGTGGGAGCTTCAGGCAAAGTGGGGTTAAGTGTCTTGCCTAAGGACACAACGACAGCAGTCATCAGTGGGAGTCGTGAAGTAGGTCTTACGGTGGGAACCCACGACCTT